TTGCTAGGGAGGCACTTCTACCACTGAGCTATCTCCCAGGCCCCTGGCTGTACTGTATTAACACCTTAATTAACACCTTTAATGGAGTCTCAAAAGACTCCATTACTTTCATGCAGTTATCCCCATAATATTACAGACAAAAAAAAGTGAGGCAGAGCAAGGTGCTGTGCCCAGGGTCACACAGTGAGCAAAGTGTTAGAGGCTGGATTTGAACCCAGGGCACCTTATCATCCTGCCTTTCCTAAAAGACTTGGATCTATTCTTCCATGAAAAATAGTATCGTGCCGTCATTTGCTGAGTGTTTAATGCAGATCTAGCATCACACTAAATGCATGTTTTTTAAGTAGAATGAAATTTAAGTGTCTTGACTCAGCTTATACCTACTTCACTTTTGCATGCAGGTCTTCTTAGAGCTCCTGTTAGAGAGGAGAAAACTGAGGCTCCAGAAGGTTAAACGTCTTGCCCTCCATGTAGGATTAAGGGTGGAGGCTGGATTCAGACCCAGTTCTCTCAATCCAGCTCTCCCTCCTCCTCCTGTGCTGTGCCTGGCATCCCATTTGCAGGATTCTGAATTGCCAAGGTCTGATTATTTAGGGCTCTGTCAAAGCAAGGCACGCCTACGTCTAGCATGGCTCGCAGGTCACTCTATGCCAGTCAGGGCACATGCTTCGGGCGTGGAAATGAGCCAGGCAAGGGCTTCTCTGGGGCCTGTTTGGGTTGGCAGGCCATGTAACTGAGTGTTCTCGCTGGGCACAGCCCTGCACACTGTGCTGCCACTGTCCATCACCCTGGCACAGAGGTACTTTTGGAAGCAGGTGCAGACTTCCCAGTACCCCTCCCGATGACTATAGGAGCCTTGGCAACGGCAGTGCAGCCTCGGACACTGAGTTCAATAGGGAACAGCTCCCAAGCCGGCTGTGCATCCACCTGGCACAAAGGAAGCCATAAACCAGTCATGGTGCACAGGTGGCACAGGTGCTTCCCATCTGAGCACCTGGTGGGGGTTTCCTTTTGGCACTGTCCCTAATCTTAACTGCTAAGAGGCTATGTGATGTGGGCTTGTGTGGCTCTCAGACCTTGCCTGGGTTCACATCCTGGCTCTTCCACTTCCTTAGGTGTGGATTTAGTCCCTTAACTTTCCAGCTCCTACTGCTCTCATTTGAAGAACAGAGAAAGTGCCAGGGCATCTCCTGTGTAGGGACATCGTGATGATCAAGTGGGTCAGCGCATACACAGAACCTGTGGTATAATAAGCACTGTGTGCATGCTTCCGAGGAGACATGTGTTTCTTAACTGATCTGCAGATGTCAAGCACTATGTTCAATGCTTGATTGATTCTTTCAATCCCCAGGAGGTTTGTGCCATTCTCAGTCCCCTGGATATTGAGGCAGAGAGAGATGAAATGTTCTCTCTCCCTGGTGAATGGAGGGGGGAAGACTTAGGATTCCTTACCCTCAGCACCTTGCTAGTGACAGTGATTGGAGGATGAGGCCAAAAGGTGCAGGATGCCCCATGGATTGCCCAGCCTGTGTCAGCCCTGGGTCCCTTAAAGTCTATTAGACTATTTTCAACGAGCTGAAATGCCAGAACTCTGTTAATCGATCATATTGATTGGTGACTAATCCAGAGAATGTTTAGAAACACACATACAAGACTTGTTGTTTTACAGAAGGGACAATGAGACATTACTAAAGCAAGTCAAGAACTTGGGCCTTCTCCCTTTGTGCCCAGAGCTCCTATACAGGTTGTAAGAGCAAAGGCTTATCTACAAGTGGATAGTTGAAAACACATAGCATCTCACCCTCAGCTCTCAGAGACAGGATCCAGGGGCTGATACTCAGTAGATGGAACAGAAACCCATCCCAAGTGTGAGCATTGGAGAAGTCGGGAAGAGCAGAAGCAGACCCCTGTGTTTGCGTGACAGCAGCCTGGGTCGTGCAGCGTGCCTCTCAGAACCTTACTGTGCTCAGGATATTGCTACCTGATTGGAATTGGTTCTAAACATGTCCAAGGTTGAATGGGAATGGAGGACATTACTGTATTTAATTATTTCTCCAGAATGAAAATGGATTCTAGCAACAGCTTAGAGGTAAAGCAACAGCAGAGCAATTAGAGTTTTGGAGCTCACGTGCGAACATTTGAATGTGCAATCATTGTAATAAGTACATTAAAATAAAATAAGTCAAAGGGTTGCATTTGCATAAATAACCCAAGGTGAGAGAACTGGATTGGTTAAGAACAAAGTGGACATGGTTAGTCAGTCATAGGAGAGGGAATAACCCATCTGTGCTCCAGGTGGAAACCACCAGGGCGGAGAGAGCTGAGGCCCAGCGTTTAGTGTAGAGTTCCCGAGGCTGGGTTTGTTGCTGATTTCTCCTGCTTTGGGTGGCAGGCACGTTCCAGATGTTCTGAGTACATTCACCCTCATCAAAATACCCGTGAGGGAAATATTACCTCCCCATGTTCCGGATGAGGAAATTGAGGCACAGAGTTTGAGTCTTCATTAACCAGCTGTGTGACCAGGGCTACCTAACCTCTCTGTGCTTTAGTTGCCTCTCCTTAGTTAGACTCACACTTCTTGCTTTACTGAGTTCCCCAGTGATTGTATGAAGAACCAGAGCATGGAGGCTCATGAGTGCTGTACACCTTACATGGATCTGCTGGAAACACTCCCTTGTGTATCGGGAGTAGAACAGGTTTGACTCGCTAGGAGGAGCAGTGGTCAAGTTAACCCCTGTACATATTAAGAGAAGCTAGACTGTGCTGTGGTAACAGAGCCAGCAAACTCAGTGACTTTAAGTAGCAGGGGTTGATTCTGCTCCTTGGGGTTTGATGGCTTCTGCTCTACAACAGCCTACCTCCGGGGGACGGAATCTGCACCATCAGGAGTGATGAGGCTGCTGTGTCAGCTTTCTGGCACCGTAACAAAATAACTGGGGTGGGGGATAAACAGCTTAAAGGAGGAAAGGCTTACTTGGCTCATGGTTTCAGAGGTGTCAATCCATGGTTGGTTGAAAGAGATGTCAGAGTCCCAGTGTTCTTTCAGGAGCCTTCCCCCAGTGACCTAACTTCCTCCTACTGGCTCCCCCTCCTGAAAGTTCTACCAGCCCCCAGTAGTGCCAGAGGCTAGTGACCCAACCTTTGGCATGTGGGCCTGTGGGCTGATTACTATGTGGGGTTAAAGGATATGTCAACTTGTGCCCTGCCATTGATCCTATCTGGGCAAGTAGCTTGGCAGTGTCTTATTTCCTGGACATGGGGATGTGCGCTTCTGTCACATGCTTAGAAAGAAGGGAGCTGAATAGTTGGGAAGAGCTGTCATTGAATACCACCCCTTTCTCCTTCCAATTCCGTCTGTGTGCAGGGCTGATGCACAAAGAGGAAGATTCCCTCCCACTCCCCACATGAGAGAGAGCTGACTGCTTCTTGGCTACTTCTCAAACAGCAAATCAGAACCAGATAGGTGCACATTCACTGCCTTCTCTAGATGTCTTTGGCCAAATTACTTAACATCCTCAACCTCTTTTCTGTCCTTTTACATGATGGAAGAACAGTAGTCTTTTCCTTGGAACTTCTTTCTGGAGTTAGCCACATCTGAGCCAAACGGGGATCCCGAGAAAAGGACAACTGATCAAACCAGCTCCAGATGGGGTGGCCCTCCTGCACCCACTCTCACAGAAAAGGGGTCTCCATACTCTTTCTGAAGGGTCACAAAGCCAGACAGCCAGTCTCCATCACAATTGCTCATTATGTCGTTGTAGTAGGAGATAGCCACAGACAATCCATAAGCAAACAGATATGGTTGTGTTCAGTAAAGCTTTATTTATAGAAACAAAGCAGGGGTCAGATTTGGGGCAAGGGCTGCAGTTTGCTGATGCGCTGGAATCAGAGCATTGCTGTGTTGGTGGCTGTCTGGGACCAGCACAGCTACACTGCTCATCCCCTCGTTCTTCCTCAGCAACTATGAAGGGGCGTGTTTAAACGCCCTTGAAAAATAAAATTAACAGTGGTGCTGCTCATCAGCAAGGTGCCTGCTGAGCAAAGCGCAGACTCACAGAGCCAGTTGTATCCTCCGTGCCTTGGGTTCCGCTGAGGTGTGTGCTCTGGTCTGATGGACGCCCTTTCAGGTTAAAGCCCTGAATGGGAATGAGGTTTAAAGCAGAATAGCAGGTTTCAGAAATGAGTCAGGCCATTTGATTTGAGCTCAGAGTTACCAGGACCTGGCCACCCATGCTGGAACTGAGTGTGGGGTTCCAACTTTCCAGAAAGCTCTAAGCTATGCATTGCCTCCAGTGACTTCTGACCTTTCTCTTTACCTCCGGTGACTTAACAAATTTTATTCCAAGTCCCAGCATCAAGAGCTAAAGCTCAAACACAAGAGTGTCACAGGTTGGCACCCTCCTAGGACACACTGGAGCTTCCTTGTGCACAGGCTGCCTCTCTCTTTCTCCCCAAAAGAAGAAAACCAGTGCTGCCTTTGCTACAGAATTGTCAGTGGCTGAAGTCTGGTTTCCCTTTAGGCATGGATATATGAACAAGTCCTAAGGCCACTAGGATGTGTATAATATCCTGCCTGTACATCCTCCCTTTATGACTTTAGTCATGTCCAGCCCTTCAGCAAGCCATCATGGCACTTTCTGCTGGAAATCAAACAGGAATCTGGGACAAAGTATTTGTTGTCCAATGGTAGAGCTTGCTGGGGAAGGAAAGATGCTGACCTGAAGTGTTGAGAATCATGACAACAGTGCTAATGGTTGAGAGCTTGGGAGAAAACTTAGTTCTTAGTGGAAACATCACATGCATCCAGATGGGGAAGCTGGCATCCAGAAGGGCAAGTCTTTCCAGAATTTAAGCCAATAGCAAAGGTAGATGGGAAAATTCAGCTCAGACTTCCAAAGCTGTATGTCCCCCACCCCAGCCCCTAATGGGCCAACTTTCTCGTTTAGCATGAATGATGGCTCAGTCCAGTGTTTTTTGCCTTTCTTTCCTGCCCTCTCCAGGATGGCTACTTTTCTCACCGACCCAAAGAAAAAGTGCGTACGGACAGCAACAATGAGAACTCAGTGCCCAAGGATTTTGAGAATGTTGACAACAGCAACTTTGCACCCCGGACTCAAAAACAAAAACATCAGCCAGAGTCAGCAAAGAAGCCGCCAAGTGGGCAGAAGCAGCGTTTGCAGAGGAAGCTAGAGCCCCAGGACAAAGGGCAGGGACATTCTGTCCTGGGGAAGGGCCTTGGTGAGGTGCTACCTCGTGGCGAGAGGGCCACCACCAACAGCAGCCATGGGAAGGATGCACCCAGACTGCCCCACTCCAGGAAGAGTGGTGGCAGCTCTCCTGAGGCCAAGTATGAGCAGCCACCCAAGTGTGACATCTCAGGCAAGGAGGCCATCTCCGCCCTGTCTCGCTCCAAGTCCAAGCACTGCCGCCAGGAGATTGGGGAGACCTACTGCCGCCACAAACTGGGGCTGCTGATGCCTGAGAAGGTGACTCGGCTTTGCCCCCTTGAGGGTAAGTTCCAGCCCCACTGCCTCTTCACCTAGCTCCAATTCTGGCCCATTTCTAGATGTTCTAAATCATCTAAGATAGAGAACAGTTGCTGCACTTCTCCATTCACAGACTGAGACAAGGAGATCTGATTTGAAGGGGGTGCTCTGTAAGTTCTCAAGTATCCTGTAAGAAAAGTTTCATGTTAATTTTTGCTGGTGCTTTAACTCATTGTCCTTATGGTAAAGGATAAAATTATAACAGAATCTGGGCTCCTGTGAAAGTTACAGGAGTGAGGCAGCTGTATCGACTGGATTCGCTTTCTTTCTCAGCAGAAGGTCAGAACTTACATTGACATAAGTGAGATTAGATGGGATTTAGAAGGTTTCCAGTGGGCTGCATGGACTTTGGGAGCTCTGTAAGAACAACCTGCCATGTTTCCCCCTCCCTCCTTTCCTCCCTCTGTCCTTTCTTCCTTCCTTCTTTCCTTCCTTCCTCCATCCCATTTTCCTTTCTATATCTTTCCTTATTTCTCTCCTTTCTTTCTTTCCATCCTTTTTCCCTCCTGGCCACCCTATGTGTAGATAACCCAGTGATGAGTCAGTTGTTGTGCTGAGTTGCAGGGCATGATCAGAGCTCAGTGGAGGACTCATGGGAATAGGGGATAAAAGGGGTCCTAGAAAGTGGGGCAAGTCTTGTCCTTATGAGGTGGGCATCGCATGTATTTATCTCCCATCTAAAACTGTACCATGCCACGACCACCTGGGTGGTGACCTTGGCCTTCCCTGGTGCTTGTGTCAGGGAGGATGACCTGCAGCATGTGCTGAGCGAGTGTGCTCGTGTTCAGGGCACTTCCGAGGTCACTGCACACCCTCATCCTCACCTCTGAGGTTGCCACCGAGATCAGAGGCCTAAGTATTTTCAGATGAGCCATGTAAAAGCAGTTCTCAAGGTCATATCATTTGTAAGTGACCTTATATTATGTACGGAGACATCTTGAGAGAGAGATAGATGGAGGGGGCGTTGCACTATCCTGGAGTCTTATTTTCTTGAGGTCCTTTCTTCTTTTCTGGATTCACAGGTATCAGCAGAAAACGTCTAACCACTCCAAAGCAGAAAAGACCCTTGTATGCTACCATCTGGCTGCATTATCAGCCCTGAGTCACTTGTTCAATGCCTGATGTCCCCTCCACTGTCACTGCCTGACTCGAAGCTGAGTTGTATTTCTCCTTGGAGAAGGCCTTCTCAATTTGTAGTCATCTGCCCAATGGTTTTTTTCCATGGAAGGGAAGATAGCACCCAAAAGGCACTTTTCTGCAAAGACAGTGAGTGCCACTTGGAACAAAGACTCCCTGAATTCAAATCCCAGACCTCCCTGGCATAAGCTGTTAGACTCTGTGCTGGTTGCTTGATATTTGTAAGTTTTTGTCTATCTACCTATAAAGGGGAGGTAAATATAATTGTGCTTATCTCAGAGTGTTTGTGAAGGCTGAGAACATAGTTAAGAACCATTTAGGAATTTGGAATGAAGAGGTGTGCATTTCAGTTTGAATTCAGTTGCCCACCAATAAGGGGAATCCTTTGCCCTCTGGTTCTGGCTTCCTTATTCATCCAGGGAGATGCAGGCACTGAGTACTCAGGGTGTCTTTTCATTTTGCTTCCCTTTGGAGCCTATTTCACCATTAGCTCCTGCCCCCCCCATTGTCAGGGTGCCCCAACGCAAGCCACGGCAGGCCCTACTGTCCTTGACAAAGCAGCCAGAAGTTCAGGATACCTCCTGTTGCTTCATAACTCAAAGACTAAGTATTTCGTTTTGCTCCTGTGGGAGGAGTAAAGTTCCCCAATTATTACTGAAAAGAAGAGATGGCCTAGAGCTCCTAGGGATGGGGCAGATGGGAAACACACAACCAGACAGGGATTGAGATCAACAAATGGGGCAAGAATGAACCCTTGAGGTTCTGGGGCCTCCTTAAAATCCAGACAGAGGTCAGAAAGTGCAGTGAGCCAGCCACAAAATCAGAAGCTTTCACTTCCCCCAGGTATGGGCATTCAGGAACCAGGCAAGGCCTGGTTACCCAGTGATCCCCCTAAACAGCAGATCCTGAATTCTCTGTCTCTCTGGATACAGAAGACCTCCATCTCCAGGTGTGTGATGAATAGGACTCCCCAGGAAAAGGAGGCTCATAGGCTTACTGCAGAAATGTTCGTTCTCTTGCTTCACTGGGCAAATGATGGTATGAGGCCTATGTAGGGGAAGAGCTTCATGTAGGATGTCCCAGTTCATTAGAGGCTTCTTCACTTCAAACACAGTCCTCCTTTACATCCATGTGTTCCCCACTCATGGATTCAACAAACTATACTGTATATTGAAAATATTTTCAGAATTTTTCACATTTATACTAGAGATAGTTTTTCTGTAATTCCCTAAACAACATAGCACCATTCACATTGTATAAGGCATTATATGAGTAATCTAGACTTGATTTAAAACATACAGAGGGATGTACAGAGATTATATGCAAGTACTGCACTGTTTTATAGAAGAGACCTGACTATTTGTGACTTGTACCCTTGGGGGGTCCTGGGTCCAGCGATTGTGTTATAGGATGCTTGTCTGTGCCTCTGTGTTTACCACCAGTCACAGGATAGGAGCTTGAGTCAGAGAGGTGCTGCCCATGCACTGAGGCAAAAGAGAGAGAGAATAGGAGGACACACAGTAAACCCTGTCCTTGTCCCCTCCGGAGGGACAGTGCATCAATGGGGCAACTTTAACATGAAGTTTCTCTCTGGTTCTGAACTATAAGTACCCAGTATATCGGTGCCGTACTTTCTTCTCAACACAGAAATTTCAGGGGAAGACCTACATTTGTCCCTTGTAGCATCCCTTTGGGCTGACCCATCCAGGTGGCTCCCGTCTATATTCTTGTGGGTCTTGGTATGTTGTAGAATACAGGAATAACTAAAGAAAGCAGGACCTTTCCAAAATCTTTTACTACCCAGAGCCTAATAGAGAAGATTCAGAGGCCTGAGTTGAACGCTTGGCCAAAAACATAGCAACGGGCTCCTATTAAGTTCTGCAAAGGGACAAACAATCAGTTTTTGAGTCCTTGTGGGCCATGCAGTCTCTGTCACCACTCTCTCCAAAATTGTGTTGTCCTGGAAATGCAAACATGAACTCTTGTGGTTATGTTCTGATGATACTTATTTTGCAGATGCAGCCCATGAGTCAAACTTGGCGCTGGAATCTGTAGTTTGCGTCCTCCTGCTTACTACCAGTACTATATACTCATACTATAATGCAGTGACATCTGGGACAAATCCATCCTAATACCATGAAGCCAGAAACACATTTTATGTACCTCACTCAGAGCTCAGCCTAACCTACACTCAACATGCTCAAAATACTCACATCAGCCTAGAGTTGGGCAAATTCATCTCATGCCCAGCTTATTTTATAATAATGTATTGAATAACTCACATAATTGATCAAATATTGAACTGAAACTGAAGAACAGGATGGCCATAGACATTCGCTTTTACACCATGGTCAAGGTAGAAAATCTGAAGCCAAAGGATTCTAAAGCAGAGGCCATCTAAAGGAGCATGCGCACCACTGTGCCTTATCACACTCAGTCCTCACGTGAGCCCTACAGAGCAAGTCTGCTATGAGCCCGTTCTGCTCCAAGAGTTAGGCCAATGGAGGCAAGCCTGTGGCACACAAGCCTCAGCAGGCTGTTTGTGTCATTGAAAACACTTGAGGGTTCACCATCATTGGTCTAGATGTTGGCTAGAAAGACATGACTGGAACATGGTAGAGTGGGTATTAGAACTCAGGTTGTGGAGTCTGAATCTGCAGAAGTCTGTATCTCTTCAGGAGGAAAAGCCTTAGCTTCATGCAACTTGTCAAGGCCCTAGAGGTCATCCTTCCAGTAACGTGTGCCTGCTTTTCCTCAGTATGGTTTTAAGAAGGGGAGAAAGGGCATAGGTAGGGGACGAAGGGGGCCAGTGTTGATGGGGGACAGGAGTTTGGCTATGAGGCTGGACTTCCTGAATTCAAAGCCCAGACCTCCCTTGCATAAGCTATTGGACTCTGGGCAGGTTGCTTGACCTCTGTATGCCTTCATGCCTTCACCTGTAAAAAGGAGATAAACATGGTCACACTTATCTCAGAGGGCTTGTGAAGGCTAAGGACACAGTTAAGAACCATGCCAGGTCAGTGATGCGCATTGCGCATATATTGACTGCTATACCTGCTCTGCAGCTATCCAAAAATCAAAATCTCATCACCATGAACCACAGTCTGCTGCCCTTTACTGGTTACGCTGAGATATCTCTAGTATGGTTTTGCACCAGAGGTTTACAAGCAGCTGCCCTCAGGTGTTTGATGCCTGGGCCAAGGTGGCACGACCTCCGGGGACCTCTGTGCTGGTTAATAAGATTGGCATTTAAGGAGCATTGCACACCCAGCCCCAGCAATGCTTTAATTTGCTGCACCACAGCCTCTCCCTTTTGTAATAAATTTACTGTGAATAGACTAATTGCAAAATAACCCTAATTGGGTAGTTATCAATGAACAACTTCCCGTGGAACAAAACGGCTTGCAATTAATAGCATTTAAGCCATAAACTATTCTTCTGCAGAAAGCTAAGATGTAATTACACCCCACAGGGAGATTGTGTTCCTTTTCTGGAAACCATGACACCCGGAATTCCCTCTGCTTAGGAGGGATTTGAGCTCTGGCCGAGTGGTCCTTTCATTTCCTGTGAACTGAGGAAGTGGTGCAGGATGGAGGGAAATTTAATACAAGAGTAAATCTACCAGTACAGATGTGTCCCCCATACAGAGGGATGCTTGGTGTCTGTCGTTTTGCTTAAGTCACCATCCATCACCCTAGTGTGCTGGAAGTAGTATGTAAGGAGACAACTCCGTGGGCCTGACAGTCTGAGCATTTCAGAGGAAACAGACTTTACACGGTAGCTTGACAAAGCATTCTGCACCTGCTCCTCTCCCCCAGCACCACCTGC